CAACATAACAAAATTGAAAAAAGTGAAGGGGGTCTGAATACTTTCTGAATGCACTGTATACCTGTCAGAAAAAGGACTGGTTTGAAAATTTCATGTTAGGGATTCACTCAGAATTCTGCATGGGTCACGGGAAAATTTTCAAACTATTTTAAGTTCACCGCAGAGTTTAGTAGTTAAGGAACCAAAGATACATTAGTAAACAACACTCCTATTTTTTTTCCTGAAAACGTCAATTGAAAACATAAGTTTTTATTTTTTTTCTCTTAGAGAAACAGAAAAATAAGCATCAACAATAGCAAGCACACATTATAAAATACTAGCCAAGTGCCAAATATTTCTTCCTTGAAATCTCAATATATTATGTAACAAGTGAGAAAATTAGATTTCTTAATAGTGCACTCAACAGTAATTAGCATATGGTAGATATGACATTCATGGAGCAATATGTTAGAGGTACTATGTAATTGATAATCCTACAGGCCCCCCCTTTTATCTACGCTTCTGTTCAAATGGTTTCTTAAAACATTCTTTTAAGTACAATTTATATTTAAATCTTGTAATGGTCAGCTATTGTCATTAAGAAGAAAGACACTTTAGCACTTGCCTAAAACTGACAATAATCCATTTTCCAAACATGATTCTCAGAGTCTTTTTGACAAGATTTATTAAGAAGAAAGAAATGGGGTTACAGGAATTCCAACAACTGTTCTGAACCACAACCAATATATCCCAAACTATAGTAGAGCTGAGTTTTCCTCGTTGAATTTTTACTGCCTTTCTGTGAACTGGCAAGTGGGAATGGGATGTTCTTCAATGATTAATGAAGGAACTTACAGGTGGTTGTTATGAAACTGTCCAGGCTGGGAACCAACCATCACATATTTTATGCATGCATAATAATGCCTTGTTCACCTGTAGAAAAAAGAACCAAGCCTACATTACTTCAAAGATGCGCTGTAACTTTTCTTAGTCAATCTGTTTCCAATGTTAACCTCATTTCCTTAAATTATCCTTTTGATTTTAGGACAAACTATGGAAGATATAGTATGAATCATACTACTATTTCACTTTCCTAGAAGACCTCTAATATAAGACTTCATTCTTATATACCTAAAGTAGAAAATGATTCAATGGGATTTATTTTAGGCAGGTATTGCAAGTTTAATTAACCCAATGTTGGTATACCTTGTTAGTCAAATACATGCGTTTTGGAAACTAATTCTGCAAAATTAATGCCTTTGGCAATCATTTCTCCCCATAAGTAACACATAAAGAACTTTATGGATACACACTGGATACAAGTTTTAGCCATAAAAGGTACTTTGCAAAGGGAAAATTAACTGCTCTGGGAGGAGCTTAGTAAACCTGTGTTTACTGCAAGAGGCATTTTTCAAAACCACTGGCATCAGAAGTACCAGAGATAAAGCTTCATTACCTCAACTGGGGGAGGGATAAGGACAAAGTACCTGTTGTAAGGCCTCTCTGATGAAACTTGTTTCCTCACACTGATGGGCCTTCTCCAGCAAGTTTACTAATGGACGGCAATTAGTGTCATGATATGTATGCAGCATCTGCAAATTACTGACCATTTTATTACCTGAATGACCTGGTAGTTCTGGACACTGGAAATTTCTAAAAAGGTGAACATTTAACAGCCACCAATTGGTGCCCCCAGTCTGCCTGTACCTGCAGTGGGATTTAGTGGAGAGGAATGGTCTTAGACAAGGCATCAATGCCAGGGGTCTCTGCCAAAACACTGAAGCCCTAGCAGCTGTCCAAGGATACCAAGAGTTGAATTGTGCTTCTGTAGAACTACAGGACCAGCTTATGTTTCTCAGGAAGCTTTCATATGATTTCAAATGTACTGGGAAACACATATATACAAATCTAATGATGCATATGGCATCATCTGCAATTCTCTTAATGCAAACTATCTTAACCCAGACTAGCTACTTACTTGACTTTTCCAATTCCTGCATTATATCATTATATATCTTTGAACAGAGGTCTTCCTGTGGTTTTGTTCCATCTAAATATACTGCAAAAGGAGGAATACAAACTCAAATCACTTTCAGCAGAGGAAAACAATTATAAATATAAGCTATCCACCAGTGCAACACATTGAGAGAAATATAACTGAGGCCCCACAGCCACATGCAATCCAACCAACAGTTTGAACACTAACAGTGTGAGCTTATAAATGTCTATTCAGCTTCTATTAAGAAAACACTGTGGAACTAGAGACTCTCTTATCACACTCATAGCTATTCACCTTGGATATATCACAAAAATGCAAAAAAGTACTCAATGGTTTTAAAAAAAGAATATGGGAACTGCATAAATGTCACAATCTATGCAATATTTATGCAAATATCACATGCACCTGGGAGAACTATAAGAATGTTAGCTATACCGATGCTTGTTTCATTTTCTTCCATTTCTTTCCTGTGTTTCTGATACATGGGCCACACGTGACCATCAAAGTATCCAGGTGGGTCTGGTGGATTGTATATTCTGTTGCTACATTAAACAAAACAACAAAAAATAGTTCTTATTAGTTTAATAATTTTTAAATGGCTTCTTCATTCTGTATTTCGCTCCTAGATTTTATAGTCCCACAAAGAACCACATTTCATATTGTTCAACACTACTACTTTTAAGCCATTTTCATAATTTTGTCATATTCCTTCAAGGATATTGGGCCAGAAATTTAGCATAATGCTTCAAAATGTTTCTTCTTCAAAGCACCTATGACTTTTTGAATATAGCTGAACTACAAGTCCCTAAAAGCCCCAACTAGCATGAATCAAATTCTACCATCAAGAACATCTGTAGAATCACAGATTACCCATCCTCAAATCAAACTTTTATTACAGCCGTCAGGCCAGCAGTATGCCCACCCTGAATTCAGAGATAATCTTGGTAATGACATACCTCAAGCTTTATTAGCAAATAGCAAATAATAGAACTCTCATAATGAAAGATCTGTCACACTGATCTAACTAGGTTCCATGATGTCATAGATTCTATGACAGATCTACGCAAAAGTCCTACTGTTTCCTGAAACTCTAACCACGTAAGGAGAGAGGAATCTGATTTCCTCCGATGAAAAAGATGCTGGGAATTATCACTCTATTGCCTTTCTCCATGGAGAAAAAGGAAAAGCTTTTCTGTGAAGGAAAGCTTCCTCTTCCAGAAAAAAGTGAAGAACAGAGACATAATCACTCCCTTTATCTTTTTGAGTGAAGGACAGATAGCAGTGGCTTCCCCTTTCCAAATGCCATTTCCAAATGGCACCTGACCAAAGGGGAATCCAGCCTATAAGCCGAATATAGTTCTCCCAACATTCGCACCCTAAAAATTGAGGTTATTTGTCTTAAGAAGAGATGCTTGAGATGCAGTTTTACAGAGAAAGAAGAAACAGTGGACAAAGACGAAAATGCCTTACCTTCTTCGCCTTTTACACTCTTCATAAGGAATTGTTAAGAAATATTTTTTATCCCATATACCACAAAGGGGCCTGCAAGAATAAAACAACAAGTAAGGCATGCTTGTTTGCCATATTCCAGTTCTTGTAAATGTTAAACAACTGCTTACTTGTAGTTATACAGAAGGAAACCTTCAATAATTAAGATACGAATATCTTTTGCTCCTGTCTGATCATCATGTGTGTTATTGGGTGGTCTTGGCAATGCAGATTCTTCTGGTTTTGTCATCCAAGAGCGTATGCTTGCCACCATTGTCTCCATGTACAAGGCATCAAGTACTAAAAGAGACACTTAAATCTTAAAATGTAAGGCAACACTCCAGGTCTGCACTCATTCTATCCATGAGATACTCAAGAGACAAAGCTTGAAATATATGCTGAATAGAATGAGAAAGTTAGGAATTGTTTTAAACAGCAGCAGATTTTGTTAGGTTGAGGGTTCAGCACTATCTCAGAAAATGCAAAGCATGTTTACTGTTGATTAATCAAGACTGGAAACAGGAAAATTTATAAACTGATAGCAAAGTATAGGAGCAACAGACCCAGTTATCCCATTATGGTTCTCAAATCTGTGAAATTCTTTGCAAATAGCAGAAAAATGAGGTTGAATATTAAAGGATAAATTAAAAAAACAGAGCAGATTAATAATTTCCAAACAATAGCAAAGGAAGAAACAATAACTTCAGTTTCTCACAGATAGTTTGGATTACACTAAAGTTTAAATCTATATAATTTAGTATATAAAGTGAAATATTACATCATCCTTTAAGCAAAATGAATTAACTCAAAATAGTTATATCAGTTATTTTAAAATAGTAGAGTGTCATACATAAAACACTTGATTACTTCTTTCATATAGTTTTGAAGAATTAAATGTAAACTACACATTGATTTATTTAAGTATCAGAAGACATTACAGGGGTTCCCTAACTTAAAAAATCGGAAAAAAAATTGGAAAATGTGGGCAAGTTTCTCTTCTTGGAAAAGTATGGAACCAAATTATTATTTCCCTAATTATCAAGTTTTAAAATCAACTGTCATACGGTTTAAGCAGTCAAATTGGGGCAAATACCTGTTGAATTTCATTCACTAATACTGTTTATAAAGTTACTTACTGTATTTTTATGATTAACAGTTTTCCATTTCACTACTTAATGAAAAATATTTAGATTCCAAAAATAAACTGAATTTTGTAGGCACTCAAGTCCTCATGCCAAACCCCGAAAGCTTTGAGAAAATCCTAAAGCTCTTACATAAAGTTATATTTATCCTAGAAAGAGATTCATTCCCCTGTCTTTTCCTTTCTGATATCTATTTTTTTTTTCCTGCTGGTTCAGATTTCTGAACTTAGGTGAAAATGGGATTCACCTCATTCACATGTGATGGCCCTGAACAATCCCAAAAAGTTGATTATGCTTTCTTAAGCCAATTAAATTTAAGGTGAACTCTTATTATTACTTTACAATTCACAAATTTAATAATTGCCTGTATTCCACAACAATCAGCACTGTCTGAGTCTGAACAAGTTGATCCCATACTCATTTATTGCCAAATATCTAACATTAAAAGCTTTTAAAGCCAGGGACTTGTTTTTGAAGGCAGAAACAATACATTTGGATTTCAAGAGAAGACCATTTCCATAACAGAACAAGCTTTATAAGTAGCTGAACAGAGTGAAGAGCAAATTTCTTTTAGGTATGCTTGAAATGAACACTTGGCTGCTGATACACTTAGGGAAGAGGGAACCAGAATGAGCAGAGAAGAGTTTCACTGGCTAGGAACAAAAAACCTCCCCTCTTCTCATTTATAAATAGGATGCCTTTGTGCTATGGAATACAGACAAAGATAATTGAAAGCATCTGTTGAAAATTGTATATTTCAGTATTATAATTTTTAATTTATTTATACATATACACATACATATATACATACATACAATTTAGAGGCCACTCAATTTCTGATAACTCTAGGTGGCTTACAGTTAAAAAGAGCAATACGAAACACAGAAGAGAAATTATGAGTGGTCCAAAGGCAAACATTAAGCAAGAAGCCCATCCAAAAGGGGCACAACCATCACCCTGTCCAAACCCTGAGAGAACAGCCAAGTCTTTAATAGCTTCCTGAGTATCATCAGGGTGGCAGCCATCCAAATCTCTCTTTTGAGTTTTTTTTTTAAATAGCAAAACAGTATATTTACCATCATATTGCAGAAATCCATGATCATCTATGGCCACTTCAGATTCTGGCTAAAAAAACCCCAAACATATTAATATTATGGAGAGTAGGGTGCACACCCACAGAAGAAGTGGCTGTGAATCTTAACACAGGGAGGGAGTTTATAGCCAGAATTAGCAATATTACCCTATCATTCTGTACTAAATAAGTCCAATTCCTGTACATTAATAAAAAAACAAAATGACACCCTGCACAAACCACGTTCTTTTATTTAAAAACTAGTATTTGTCAAGCTCATTTGAGGCTAATGTTCAGAACAATAAAAATCAAAGATTGAAATGAAAGGCAAACAATACAGCAAAAAAGTGAAGGATATGGTCTTCTCCCATAACTTTTGAGATAATTTAACAAGGTCAATTTGGCTGATTCTCTAGAGACTCATCAGCCATTCTAACAGGCACATGATTAAAACTGACTAGAGTTTCACATGCTGCCATACTTCTGCACTGTATTTGAGGAGAAATTCTGCTACTAAGCACCATTTTTACACACCTGAATTTCCTACATCAATGTTCCTCGGCAACTTTAAGATGTTGCCTATAATAGCTGGGGAATCCTGGGAGTTGAAGTTCACATACAGGTAGTCCTCGCATAACGACTGCTGTTTCATGACTGAAGTTACAACGGCATGAAAAAGTAACTTTACAGTCTGTTCTTGCACTTACAACCATTGCAGCATCCCCCGCAGTCATGATTGCCATTTGGGCGCTTCACAACCAGTGGGCATTTATGACTGTTGCAGCATTCCACGGTCATGTTACTGTCATTTGCGTGCTTCACATACAGCTCCTGACAAGCAGAGTCAATAGAGAACCCAGCAGTAAAATTGCAAGTCGCAGTCATGTGACATCTTGCTTAATGACCATGTCACTTAGCGATGGAGTTACCGGTCCCAAATGTGGTCATCAAGCGAGGACTACCTGTATCTTAAAGATACCGAGGTTGAGAAACACTGCCCTACTTGATTGAGAACTCTGATCACACTGGGTGAGTCTCTCCATATAGGCTTCTGATCTCCGACACTATGCAGACTTATTGTAGGGTGAACCAAAGCAGAGGGATGCTTTGGAGGCAATGGAGCCAACAAACTTGAATCCACTTCTGCACTGAACCAAAACATTAACTCAAACTGTAAAGTCTTTTAAACTTGTTACCTTAAAAAAGTCATCTTGAGAAATTATAGTACAATTGGGAAGCAGTTTCTTCAGCTTTCTTGCCAGAGTTGTTTTGCCTCCATTTGTAACACTGAATTGGAAATTTGAAGAAGGGTGTTTAGAAGAGCAAACTGTACAGTACATAGCACTATTGACAGCTTTGTTTACTATGCAATTGCATTGTATCCAATCAAATATAATGTTTGGGTTTTTTAGCTTAAATAGCCAGAAGGTTATTTATTGCAGCTGCATAAGGGCTTTCTCTGTCAATTATCTTCTACATGATAAATGCACAATGATTACTCAGTGTTTTTGTCAGGTTCAGCCCAAAGAACTCCCCGAGACAGTGCAGATACAGTTCTGTTGCGTTTATTAGCTTCCACCTCAAGACAGAATCTCTCCAGACTGAATCTAACCAGCAAGCCAAAACACCGTGAATTCCTTAGGGTGGTGCCAGTCTCATCTTCTTAAACTTCCCATGCTCCTGTTGAAGGCTAAGGGAATGCTTATCTCCTCGAGCGTGGCCTTCATCCAACCATTCCTTCACAGTTTTGTCTGTTAAAAAAAGCATGTTTCTTCCTATCCTCCCTGAAAGAGCGGGGTTCTTACAAGTATTTGGATGATTGCAACAGCAAAAATACTAGGACTAGAGTTGCAACAGCAGTGGAAACCAGAGTTTCATATACATGGAATATTTGCACAATACAATACAGGCATAGATTTAGATACTCAGCAAACTTATTATTATATAATCATAGAATGCCATAACTTTTAAAGGTATTTTACTGGTTTTAATTGTACGCTGACCAGAGCCAGTGTGGAGTAGGGTGGCCTTTATAAATCTAATTTATAAATAAATAGAAGTAAAATGAAAAGAGTCCTTGAGTTTCCAGAAGGGGCAAAAAGTAAAATCTAACATAAACATATGCAAAGTGAAATGTTCAACTAATATTTCAAACTTAGCCTCAGGTAGTCCTTGCTTAATGACAGTAATTAGGACTGGAATTTCCATCGCTAAGCAATGCCGTTATAAAGCGTGATGTCATGTGACCGTGCTGCTTAGCAACCACAGTTCCGGCAGTCTCCGGTTACAGTAGTTAAGCAAGGACTGCACGTGATCACAACTTCCGACTTCCCCATTGACTTTGCTTGTGGGAAGCTGGCAGGGAAGGTCACAAATTGCGATCATGTGACCATGGGACACTGTGATGTTCAGAAATCCAGGCTGGTTGCTGAGCGCCCGGATCACAATCACATGACCGTGGGGGCACTACAAAGGCTGGAGGTTTGAGGACTGGTCCTAAGTACTACTCATTCAGCACCATCACAAGTTCAAATGGTCACTGAAAAAGTGGTTGTTAAACAAGGACCACCTGTATTTGGATGCGTAAAGTAAAAAAGAGGATTTTAAATACTTGTTTACACTTACCCTCCAAGTCCAATGACCAACATTTTCATTGTTCCGTTACAACCTAAACATTAAATTGAAAGAGTAAAATCAAGAGCAAATAATGTTGTCCATGAGCTATTTTTCTTCAGCGTATGGAACACTTATGTATTTTTAATTTGAGCAATACCAATGAGTGACTCAGTTTGAAACTGGACCAGGCTGGCCACTCTGTGAAAACCACACAACAAGCAGTAAAACTTACCTAGCCCAACAGTGTCAGCAACCAATGAGAGCACAGCTGAGACATAAAGTAAAAGAACTATAAAAAGAAGGATTTGACAGAGATCTGGTGGGGAGACACTCTGTGTACATGCAATCATCTGGATCACAATCCATCTTTGCCATTTCCATATGGTTTGGCGAGTATGTATGCTAAATTGTGATAAATAAAACTAGGATGTTAACAAAAAAATATATTTGTGTGCTATCTGTCATTTAGTGAGAATGATTCACCTATCCAAGATCCTGGAAGAGTTAATATCTCTTTTTCAAGGCAAACATACAGGTTCCCACGGTCTCTTCCCCTAAACCTTGGTTTCTAATCCCTTAATCATCCTCATGGCTTTTAATGCCCCTTCTAGTTTTTCTGAATCCTTACTCTGCATATGACACAGGGTCTGGTTACTTGAGGGACCATCTACCTTCCATAGTATCTTCCCAGCCAATTTGATCCAGCAGGGTGGGCACACTCCAAGTTCCTTCAATTAAATAATGCCATTTACCAGGTCCCAGGAAGTGCGCCTTCTCTGCCATAGTGCCTCCTCTTTGGAATGAGGTTCCCCCTAAGATCTGGATGGCCCCCACTCTGCTGGTATTATCTAAATTGCCCAGAGTCGCTGGGAATCAGGGGATGTAAAAATTTAATAAATAAAATATTATATGACCGGCGCAAACCAAGTTAAATTATTACTTCCTGTGATTTAGACATTATTCTTCTACTGATGTAGCATAAAACTGCATTGGGCTTTTTAATATTTATGTCACACTACAGATTCATAGTCAATTTATGTTCAACTACAATTCCAGGATTCTTTCCACAATATCAAAGCAGATATCCCCCATTTTATATCTATACCATTTGAAGCACCATTTTGGAATGAAATCTGAAATACTGCATAGCCATAATGCACATGTACATAAAAATAAGTCATTTAGTTAAAATCAAACTTTTCAGAATGTGGTATTTTGGGTTTAGGTGATTTTATAATACAGGCAAAAATTATGACTACAAATACTAATAACCATGAATGTATCTGGTTTATTTGTTGTTAATTATCTAGTATGGCACAACTGCTCCCAAGTCATTTACCAGTTACATAAAGGTGAAAGCTTTGAACTCTTTGGGATGCAAACAGAATTTCAAAACAGTAGAGCATGGGTCCAAGATAAACATTAAAGAGCTACATAGACAAAAAGAGCTGCATGAATAGCATTCCACACTGTCATCTATAGAACACAAAGTATATATTCAAATCATCACTGAACCCTGCAAAAAATAAGATTCATGTTTACATCAAAATGATTGTCAGTACAAGACAATCCTATTCCAATTACAGCCTTCATAAGTAAGAGCTCTGTGGTTATTGAATAAGACTGCAGTTCTAATGTAAGTAAACTCAAATGGAACAGGAAAGGAAGCTACAATCAGGATGGAACATGGTGTGATGGACTTGCTCCAAGTCAGCAAAGGAGTGAAACAAGGCTATGCAACTCTTTCCTTCTTTATAGATTTGGAGAGACTAGATTGGAAGAAGATGCACATGATTTTTAAATTGGAGGAAGAAACCTGTGCTATGCTGTTGGCACTACTCTGAAAGGTGAGCATGCAAATGATCTACTAGCTCTAATAATGAAAGTCAAGGGGCCAAGTGAAAAAAAGTCTAAGATTAAATATAAAAAAGGCCAAATTAATGGCAACAAATATAGCAACAGCCTTAGACTTGCCAATGAACACACTGAAGTGGTGGGTAGTTCCTGCTTTTTACGACTGAATATCAACAGTAACGGAACACAAAAACTTTGGAAAAAATAATCAGTTACTGTGACGTGTCTATACCTGAAAAGGCAGAATCATGCAGACAATGATTTTCCCTGCGACACGCTAAAGAAAGGAAAGTTGGACTTTGAAGACGGAAATAATATTGATGCTTCTGAACCCTGGTATTGGAGAAGACACCTGAAAATACCATGGATAGCCCAATGGATCATGAAACAAGTCAATCTAGAGGCACAAATGACCAAGGTCAAATTATCATATTTTAGACACATGTAAAGACTCAGTTCTGTGGAGCAGTCTATAATGCTAGGAAAGGTGGAAAGAAAGAGAAGAAGAGGATGATGAGCAGCAAGGTGAATGGAAATTACAGCGACAATGGGTGCACTATTGAGTGATCTGAAGGGCCAGGTTGGGGTCAGTTCATCCTGAAAAATATCTATCTATATGGCCACCAAGAGTCAACGCCGACTTAATGGCACATAACCAATCAATCAGTTACATGGAACAACTCCCACTCAGTTCAGTGTGAATTTATTTCCTGTTTATCTTCTTATTTATATTGTATATATCTCCTTACTTCATTCCCAGAATCTTACAGAAGACAAGATTACATTGATTTCCAGTTGTAAATGTTTAGTGTTTTCATTGGTTCCTCCAAACCATGAAAAATCAGTATGAAGGAAAGATGGAATAATTACAAATGCTTTTTAATGTGTGGCACTAGAACCCTTCTGTCTGGAAGCATTACAGAAACAAATTGTTATCAACTGGATTTTTACCCTGTAGTTCCTTGGATTTCTACAGTTCTTAATTATACTTGTAACCCCCCATCCTTCCCCACTTATTCCATCTTTTTCTTGCCACAAGGTCCTAGTCTGAAAGCACGCACAGAAGAACCACAGTAACTCCCTCTAGAAGCGTTTCTCAACCTTGGCAACTTGAAGATGTGTGGACTTCAATTCCCAGAATTCAAGCGCATTCAAAATACATGCATTATTATCTGGCCAAGTACAGGTTGTCCAAGAACGTCCTGTTCCCGCAATCACACGCTACAGAGAACAAGGGCAGATTTTTGCTCTTAGAAAAGTTAATTATAAAAGGGCTTCTGTTCAGATTAACTATAAAGAAGCAAAATCAGGCTCTTTAAAGCAACGTAACAAAGAAACTCACACTTTTCCTCTTCTGAGCAAAGCAGCCCTGCAGGAAAGCACAGCGAAGGCAGCGTCCAGCATGCAGAGGCGTCCCGCCTGCAGGCCCCTCCCCTCTGTCACCCCGTTAGAGGCGACTACGCCGTACCTCGAAAAGGGGGTGGAGGCGGGCAGAGGCTAACCGCGCTGTATGCAAAAAGAGCGGGCAGGGAAATCCCACTGCTGCGCGCCAATTGGTCAGCACTCGCAGTCCGTCCCGGCGCCTTAGCCCAAGGAACTGCCCCTTCTCCCTCGGAGCTGCGCGCGCTGTGACTGGCCGGCCTCTGTCGGCCCCTCCTTCCCACGCGGGCCGCCTCGCCTTGCCTGGTCCCCTCGCTCTTCCTGCCGTGCGGCTTCTTAGCCACTAGGGGGAGCCACGCCTGCGACAATCCGCACTTCCTCATCGTTGCAAAAGCACCTTTCGTGCCCTCGCCAAGCGCTCAGCTGGGACGTCCACCAACCCAGCTGCTTCGGCGGTCGCTCTCGATCCGCGCTGCTCCAGAAATCGTTGGCGGGGGAGGGGCCCCGGCGATCTGGAGGTCGCGAGCGAGCCAGCTCAGCGCTAGATCAGCGGTCAGGGAGGCTTTGCTTGCAACTTGGACGCAGCGATGTCCAAGCCGCCGCCTAAGCCAGCTAAGCCAGGTAAGGGAAGCGCTGGTCTCCTAGCCCGAGTCCTTTCCTTCCTGGTAGCCGTCATCTTGACGTTGCTGCTGCCGTCTCGCCTCTAGTTGGAAGGGGGAGGGGGCCGCTGGGAAAAGGGGCAAACGGCGCAACTTGAGAGCCGCCCGGCGGCAATGGGTCGAGGGCGAGAAGGGGCTCCTCCCTGACACGTGAGGCGGCAATTGCAGCGGCTCAGCCAGGGCAGCCGCGCAGGACGTGGTGCATTTCACGCCCTAAACTGAGATTTAACCCCCGTTCTGTAGCTTTGGCTGCCTTGAGTCTTGCTGACTGGTTCCTTTTTCTGCCCCTTCTCTCCTCGGTTGTCTGCCGCTACGACGCGCCGGAGATGGAGAGGAAGAGGCTCGTTTGGAGAGGAGGAAGAGCTTCTCTCTGGGCCGGGTGGGGCTCGCAGGGAGGCTGTCACTGTCAAAAGTCAGGCCAGGAAGTTGAGCCGAGCCCGCGAGGCTCCCGGCGGTGCCACCTGGGGGCGGGCGGCCGCCGCTCCCGGGGAGCCGGGGCCGGGGGGAAACCGATCGATAGCCGA